GGGGGGGGGGGTGGGGGGGGGGGGGGGGGGGGGGGGGGGGGGGGGGGGGGGGGGGGGGGGGGGGGGGGGCAGTGAGCACGGTGGACCAAACATATTGATAATGCCCGTCGCGTCGCACCAATAATATTTCATGTACGAATTGACATATCCTCCCACCTGCCGTTCAGACCCTCGTCTCCACCAACTACTTCGGGATGTGCAACAGCCCCCTTCTTGTCTTTTCTCACTCCTTTCTTGCTCTCCTTTTCTCGTTCTCAAAACTAAAAATAAACATTCGCTCTCTCCCGGTCGTCTTCACGCGTTCCTTCAACCACCTCTACTCCCTCGGCGCAAAAGAATACTAAGTACATTTGTTCTATATGTGCCCCTTTGCAATACGTTCTATCCCCCAGTCCTTCTCCTCACCGTTCGCCATCCCTTTGCAAAACGCTCTTTCACTTCGTCATCTCTCTGCCTCATGAAACCCATTCACGCCTTGAAGATCCGCCGAAAACCGAACACAACAAACATCGACGAAACCAGCACGCATGTCCCACAGGTTCCTGGACGCCTGTCCGCCGCCTAGTCCCGCCATCTACCCTACAGTATTTCATGTTGTGGAACAAACCCTACCCTGCTGACGTGTTCAGCGCAAGGGTTGTCGAAAGGGCTCATCTAATCTTACACGTGCCTTCTGTCCTCCACGGACTTTATATCGGTGTGTACCACAGACTATGTTCCTTTCCCTCCATGAGCGCCTGCCATATCCCATCTCACCAGAAGGATACCCAGACACTCCCTCCGACCACGTGAAGTCCCACCACCGCGGCGTACGTCATGTACTCGTACCATCGCGTGCCCCCCGAAGCGGCACTGCAAAAAAAATCACGCCGCAGCACGATACAAAGAAAACCCGAAACGGACGTTCGCGATGTCACACATTGCACGTAGCGTAAAGCACGCGCACGAGCCAATGAAAATCGACGGACCAAGCGGGAGCGTGAGAGGTGGGATGCAAGCGGTTTTCTGTAAAACGTGTCCCGGGCAAGAGTACCTGAAGTGGCGAGGGCAAAACTCACAGCCTCTGTGTCCAAGAAAGGAGATCGTGTGTGGAAAAATAGCAACCCATACGTAGATGCGATAGTCCTGTCCCGCATTGCAGCAAACCGATTCGACGACGAGCCTGCACGACGACCAGCGAAGGCTTGTGACAGTTTCATCAGGGTGATAACGGACGGCTTGGTCGACCAGCTTGGCCAATCAACGATGCTAGTTCACCACGCGATCAGAGGAATAGCGCGAAATATTGGTTCGAAAGCAATCCGCTTGGGACCCAAAACTCCCCCCCACCCCCCCGGAATCCTACTCAGCGCTCGAGGGACACATGTAATGTCAGTCTCGTACGCGATGGGAAAAAGTTGCGAATGATGGATGCAAGAACGTGCAACGACGGGCGACTGAAGTGCCCACAAAAGAAAGAGTGTGGTACGGGTTATGGAAGACAAAAAAAAAAACGGAATTCTCCTCACGTTATGGAGACGTGCCAAAGGTTTCCCTCTCGGAGGCCTCTAAGGTAGGCCTGCGTCTGACCCAGGCTGGCGCCAGGCATCACCATCATGAACGCCGGGGCGAAGAAGCGTTGCCACCTGCGACGGCGGCAGCGGCGGCGGCGGCGGAGGCAGTGGTGGTGCCATCGGTGGGCATGCCACGGCACGCGGGGAAGAGCAGTACACGACGTCGGGGAAGGCCGGGATGAGGCTGCGTATTCATCGCCATATCTTAGGGAGGGGGGGGGTGTACTCATAGTCGTGCATGCCGTAGTCGTTAGACCATTGACCTCGCATCCCTACAAAGCCGGGACGGAGCCCGCAGGGTTCTCACCGGACCAGGCTCTCACATCACCAAGCGCGAAGCGCTGTGAG